TTCTATGGTATGTAAGGCATTAATATGTAGGGAAGTTGAGTGAAGGGTACTGGAGAACCCTGTATTATTTTTGTGACTTCTTCTTAAGTCAAAAAACATTTCAAAATCAAAAACATGTATGTGCCTGAGCCAGGAACCAGAGATTCTGCCAGGGAATGAGGAGAGTTTGGGGACTCCTAGGTTAAACCATGCCAGGAAAAAGACTCAATGAATGATACAGTATACAAAGCCTGGGGCTATAAATACCAAAAGGTTGGCTGTAACCAGGAAAATGTAGTGAGAACATCCCTGAGTTAGTTGGTTCTCAGGACAAAGTTGAACCTGTTCATGATGACTCAGCTCCAATATCAAGAACATCAATCAACACTTCTGTAACACGGAGGCCCTCAGGCTCCTAGGGTGTGGTATGCTGCCCTCCCCTACAATGCTTTTGGAATCCTGAAGCCTTTTTCTGTGTGTGTGTGTGTGTGTGTGTGTGTGTTTGGAGACAGGGTCTCCCTCGATTTACCTAGGCTAAAGTAGAGGGGCACAATCTCAGCTTCCTGCAGCCTTGACCTCCCAGGCTCAAGCAATCCTCCTACTTCAGCCTCCCAAGTAGTCGGGACCACAGGCACTCACTACCACAGCTGGCTAAATTTTTGTATTTTTAGTAGAGACAGGGTTTCACTACGTTGGCCAGGTTGGTCTTGAACTCCTGACTTCAAGTAATCTGTCCACCTTGGCCTCCCAAAGTGCTAGAATTACAGGCATGAGCCACTGTGTCTGGCCTGCCTTTAAAAAAAAAAAAAATTAAAACATATAGTTTTAGATTTAGAGGAAAGTTGTGACGTTACTGCCAGGAGTTACAATGTACTCCACTCACTAATAATACCATAGATTAGTCACAATTCACACACCAACAGAAATACATTATCCACTAAAGCCCATACTTTTTGTAGATTTCTAGGATCCCATCCAGGACACCATTTATTACTCATCTCTCCTTAGGATTCTTTTGGTTGAAACAGTTCCTTAGATTTTCCTTGTTTCTGATAACCTTGACAATTTTGAGGAGTACTTATCAGGTATTTTGTAGAAAGACCATCAGTTGGAATTAGTCTCATGTTTTTCTCATGATTAGCCTGAAATTACGGGTTTCTGGGAGGAAGACCCCAGAGGTAAAGTGTCATTCTCATCACATCATATTAAGCATAACTACTAGCCTGACTTACCACTGTTCATGTTAACCTTGCTCACCAGGCTTGAGCAGCATTTGTCAGTTTCTCCCCCTTTCCACATTGCTCTTTGGAGGGGAATCACTACGCACAGCCCACACTTAAGGAAAAGACATGTTATTATTATTATGACCCACTTCTTTGAGGATGGAATACCTACATTAGTCACTTGGAATTTTTCTGCACATATTTTTCTATCTCCGTATGTATTGATTCAACATTTATTTATATCAGTATGTTGTACAATTTCATAATTTGGGTTATAGTTCATTAGTACTTTATTTTGTTATTCAAATTATCTCATCTTTGGCTATACTGAGCTATTTCAGTATCTCCTGTGTCCATCTGATAAACCTTCATCACAGTGGGGCTTTTTAAGCTCTTCCTTACTTTCCAGCACTACAAGATGCTCCAAGTTCATCTTGCACATTCCCTGCTCCTGCTCTACAATCTAGAATCTGTCATTCTGTTTCAGAATGAGGACTCCTGGTTGCTTTTATAGGATAATGGTATAAGAAACCAATATCTGGATGCCAGGTATGCTTGTTACTGCTGGGGTGTTATTGCTTTTAGGCCCTCTCAGCTAACACAGCAAAGAAATTGTGTTTACTAACTCATGTTTATACACATATCTATAAATATTCCTTTGTATTTTGTATCTATATCAAGCTAACATGAATTAATACCAACATTTCCAATTCAAATCCATTACCACATGGATCATTTCTCTCCTTGCTTATCTCTAACTTTTCATTCCAAAGTGAGAAACCAAGACCCTCATGATCCACTATCCAGTTACTTATTTATTCAATTCCAGTATACACATATAATGGTTTCAGAATCCTTAGCCTATATCCTCATGGGAAACAATTTCATCAAACAAAACATAGTGTTTGTATATAGTTCCTAAGTCACTTAGGTCAGTACCCTTTTTCATTCACGTTCTTCAGTGAGTTTATTCCATACTTTGTAATACAGTTGGATTCTTTTGTCATAGTCTGAATTCCATCCTGGGATCTTCCAACCTCCTAAATGACTTTTAAAATTTTGGATACATAACATTGAATATATGTGCTGTAAATTTTATGGGTTTTGACAAATGCATAGTGTCATGTCTTCCCTAGTGTCCTTTTACATCTTTTCAGTTTTCTCCTGAAGCATCAAGATAATAATTTCAGACTATGATCAGTCCACCCGTCTCTAAGAAACCTCCCTCCCTGTGGCTCCCAGATCTGTAGTTAGCCAAGAAACTAAATAACTGAGGTGGTAACATTATAAAGAACATAATAAGAAGGATGCCATGCCACAGGGCTCTCTGTCCTATCCCACATTTTAAATTTATGATACTGCTACAGAAATTTTGATTGCATAAAGCTTAAGAGGATAGAATACAGCACAGAAAGAATTAGCAATTCAAATACCTTAAAAGGTGGGCCAAACCAAAAAAAAGGTTAGATTACCAGGGAAGTCAATAATTTGATTCAAAAATTCAAGAATACAGATCAGGGAAAAAGAACTAGTTTAGTTACTTCATCATGAGATACATCAGTGTTGAAAGCTTGCTATGAGGCAACAAAGGGACTGGGTCACCAAAAATCCATTACCAGGACAATGACCAGGACAGGGGAGGAGATGGTCAGCTAGTCTTCGCGCTTGTCAGATCATGTGTGTCATTCTGTGTTCAGCATCAAAGTCCAAATGTGATACAACTACCAAATGAACCAGAGCTATAAATGGTCTAGAAAAATTCATTCAACAAGCATTTAGTGAATACTACCATTCATACAAGGTATTACAATATTTGCTAGTGTCCAAGAGTGATAATAAAAAAAAGTGTATCAGATCCAAGCACTGCTCAAAGCATTCATCTGTATTAATGAATTTAAACAGATAAACTCCTTTGTGAACCTTCCAGATATCTGAGGTTTCCAAATTTTACCCATGTAAATGATTAGTATATTCAACAGGTCATATTTAGTCACTTATTCTCTCAGATTTTATACTTCTCTTGTATTTTTTTCTTCTAAGAAATAAAATTTAACAGAGCATCAAATCAGGACACACCCATCATTTGGCATCATTTCTTTAAAATATGTTTTTTAAATGTCTTTTTAAAAACTGACTTTTTGGCCAGGCGAGGTGTCTCACGCCTGTAATCCAGCACTCTGGGAGGCCAAGGCGGGTGGATGACCTGAGGTCAGGGGTTCAAGACCAGCCTGGTCAACTTGGCAAAACCCCATCTCTACTAACAATACAAAAATTAGTTGGGTGTGGTGGCATGCGCCTGTAATCCCAGCAACATGGGAGGCTGAAGCAGAAGAACTGTTTGAACCCAGAAGGTGAAGGCTGCAGTGAGCCGAGATCACGCCATTGTACTCCAGTCTAGGCAACAAGAGTGAAACTCCATCTCAAAAAAAAAAAAAGAAAAAAGTGACATTTTGATTATAAAGTTAATGACATTCAATAAGGAAAAATTGGAAAATATAAACACAAAGAAGTAAACGAAACAAAAATCAGGTAAGTTTCTGACCACTGTTAATATTTATGGCATTCCCCGCCACTCTTTGCTATGAACAAATTTGCAGCTTTCCTTGAAGTTATCATTCTGCATATGCATATTTGTATTTAACCTAATTAACCTCACACGCTTATTTCCCTTTTATGAAGTAGGCTGCTGTTGCTGCCAATTTATGGGTTGTGAATACAACATATGTTTTGAGATAAAAACTGAGGAAAAGGTTTCTTCCTTCTCACCTTATTTAAATTGATTATTATTTAGTGCTTTAAGGTTTCTAAAAAGATGTTCTTGTCCTTACAATAAATAAATGCTAACAGAAAGACAGAAGCAGCCTCTTAATTACTACTATGATTTAACAAGCACTTACCTTATTGGATAAGAACAAAATGTTACTGAGTGAGCTGGTGTATAAGAGCTACCAGATCCTTCTTCCACTACTTAAACTTCCAAGAAGAAACTTGAAGAAGAAAATCCTAAATATGACTTCTATCCCTGAAGAAGTTACAAAGGACCTCTTCTGTCTGGGGTGCTTGAGAAGAGCACTTCCCTGTCCTGAGACTTGAGAAGAGTCTCTCACTCTTCAGAGATTAAATGAATTGGCAAAGGATAAATCTTAGGATATTTAAGTTTCCACTAACTGCCATGGATGAGGCACTACACTCTTAAAAATGGGAGGAAAAATTTCAAAGACAATGAGATTCATCATGAAGTATGATATACAACAGATTCTCCCATTACTATTCCTCTCCCTTCTCTTACCCCTTAACTTTTTTTTTTTGAGATGGAGTCTCACTGTGTTGCCCAGGCTGGAGTGCAGCAGTGCGATTTCGGCTCACTGCAACCTCCACCTCCCAAGTTCAAGTGATTCTCTACCTCAGCCTCCTGAGTAGCTGGGATTACAGGTGTGTGTCACCATGCCTGGCTAATTTTTGTATTTTTTAGTAGAGATGCTTTTCACCATCTTGGCCAAGCTGGTCTTGAACTCTTGACCTTGTGATCCACCCGCCTCAGGCTCCCAAAGTGCTGGGATTACAGGCATAAGCCACTACGCCTGGCACTTTTCTTTAAGGAGTAAAGGAATAGAAGGAAATATGCAAGTAAGTGAGGTAAAGCAACGCAACAAACCAGAATAATGTTACATTGTGAAGACCAAGCAAAACAGCATTTGTCTATAGGTCAAAGACACATCAATTACCTCTTATGTAACTGATGTAAAGGAAACCAGGGAGTAAACTTAAAATGACTCCTTGCTTATTCTGCCTCCACAGCCTGCAGCCTGAAGCCATGGTTTGAGGAACTGAGGATCCTGTAAGAGGCGGACAGCAGGGAACTCTCCGCACACCAGGTCTTCACTGATGCCCAAGTACAATGTGTTTATTCCATTAAAGAAAACAAACTTAAGGAAGACAGTAAATACCAGCAACAGCAGAATAGGGATTCTCTGATGGGTCCAGACAGATGTTTCTTTGTGCACATTTATAGGAAACCTACAATTGCCTTTCTGTCCTTTCCAAACACCTAACTTAAAAATCTCGTCCTTCAGGCTATTAAATGTGCTGGTACCATCCTTACTAGGATGTATTCATGCCATTATGAAGTTAATGTGTTCTAACACTAACAGTACATTATTTATCAAGGTGGAAATGAAATGGAGAGCAGAGGAATGTGTCTAGATATGAAGTTCTCCATCATTCTTTGAAAGGAAGATGTGTTTTTGGGTCCTCCTGTTTCTTTTATGACTCATAATACATGCATCCATGCATGCACACTTTATAACCAATGCTATATGCAGCATTTTAGGCAGGAAGACCACCATGAACAAAGGCACTGAGGAGGGCTGAGTTCACTCTACGTTGAAGGTTAAGATGCCTGGTGTGAATGAAGCCAAACATTTGTACTGAGTAGTCACAGGAAATAAAGTCAAAGGGTAAGATTTTGCCAGATTTCAGAGGACATCAAAATCCAAAGAGAGTGCAATTTTATTTAACAGGCAGCAGACAGATGGTACAGATTCACAATAACATGAAACGGTTTAGAATGTAAAATCATACCATGGTATATGATTGTGGTGTGGTTGTGGGGAGAAGGGAGGATGAGATATACTAGTAATTGTCTGGGAGGTTGCTGCCAGCATCAAGCATGCAGCATCAAGCATGATATCAGTGGGACTGAGGGAGAAAGTGCAAATGTGGTATCTTAAAGGGAGAAATGTAGGTGGGAACTGTGATAGCGTAGGTATAAGGCAAAAAGGCAAGAAAAGGTTCCTGATGCCGAGATCCAACAGCACTCCATTTAAGTAAGTTATTATCAGTTACTGTGCCCTTCTCTGGTTCCAAGCATATCTGAGTTTTACAGACCTAATTTCTTTCCATCATCACATCAACTCTGAGAGGATTTATAATTCTAGTTTACAATGAGAAAGCTGGGATCTTTGAAACATTAAGCAGCTTGCTAAAGATCACCCTGCTGCAGGAGTTAGGGTTTGAACGTGTGTCTGTCTAACTCCATGCTTCTTATCCATGCTATTGCTTCCCCAGTGTCAAAGCCTGCTCTTCACCACAAATCCTTACCTAAATAAATGCATTCGCCTAAATATTCAATACTTCCCTTTGCTTTCATTAGTTAGAGTATAACATCACACATATGATGTCTGATATCTGGATGTTAACATATATGGCAAGTGGGAGCTCCAAAGTGCTGAACTCCAAAGTTAGGTATTATTTTTATTATTACGTGGGCGTTTTCCTTCAGTGACTAATGTCAGGAAATAGAAAGGGCTCCATTACACACGTCTACCTCATCTACAGCCCACCCTAAGGCTTACTGTGAGATCGTTTTCTTTTGTAACAAGATATAAAGAAGGAATTAAGAATCTGTGTTCACGCATTTAGGAATTTTGCAGAAAGGCCCATCTGCAATTTTAGGTGCAGGCTGTAGCATGAGTAGATGATGTTCAAACAACCTGCCCTACTTTCTTCAGCAATGAGAAAGGAAAAAAAAGGTTAATGTGAAACATACTCTAAACTAGCTGGTTTGCTTTCCTATAAACTTTACCTACAAAGAAGAATCAGTAATAATAAGAAAGAAATGGATCAAATTACCCACAATGATAGGATCGGATGCCCTTCCTGAGTGGGATGCTGGCAGTGGGTGTTTGGGTTTTCAGAAAGCACCCAGCTTTTCTAAAGTCCCTATGTCTCTCCACTGACAGATTCACAGACTGCTAGTACTGAACAGAATCTGAAGGGTTGTTTTACAAAGGAGGTAACTGAGGTCCTAAGAGATGAACGCTCAGTGCTCTGCATTTTCTGTTTGCTCATCAATATGTCAATTACACCACTTGAACAACATGTTAGATGTTTTGGAGCACGCAAGGACTCTATCATTAGCCCCTCATGTTTTTTCTTTCTTGTTTCCCTACCCTGTTGAAACCCCACAGTGAGTGATTTTAACAGCAGCCTTAAAGGCCCAAAATCCACAGCCTAGGCAAGCTCCTCCAGGGCATCTCTCTCCAGCAGGGACACTGCTGAGAATTTCCAATACCAGTGCTGATCCCAATGAAGTGTGCTGTTTATCTCCTCTCTTACCATCTCAGAGTGACCATGTACTCAGAAAACTCCAGGGTTCCTTCCCCTTAGCCTTTGGTCATGCTTGGGTCTCCCCCACTCTGAAAAATAAAACTCTATTTTGATCTAATTAGATCTGACTGCCCCAATCTGCCTACCACATTGCTATCAAAAGTAGTTTCTTCTTTTCTTTTTTTTTTGGTAAGACTCTTTTTTTTTTTTAAATTGCATTTTAGGTTTTGGGGTACATGTGAAGAACATGTAAAACAGTTGCATAGGTACACACATGGCAGTGAGATTTGCTGTCTTCCTCTCCATGCTATCTCTCCCCATGCTATCCCTCCCCAACTCCCCACCCCACGCTGTCCCTCCCCTATTCCCCCGCTACAGACCCCAGTGTGTGATGCTCCCCTCCCTGTGTCCATGTGTTCTCATTGTTCAACATCCACCTATGAGTGAGAACATGCAGTGTTTGATTTTCTGTTCTCGTGTCAGTTTGTTGAGAATGGTGGTTTCCAGGTTCATCCATGTCCCTACAAAGGACACAAATGCATCATTTTTTATGGCTGCATACTATTCCATGGTGTATATGTGCCACATTTTCCCTGTCCAGTCTATCACTGATGGGCATTTGGGTTGGTTCCAGGTCTTTGCTATTGTAAACAGTGCTGCAGTAAACATTTGTGTGCATGTGTCCTTTTAATAGAATGATTTATAATCCTTTTGGATATATACCCAGTAATGGAATTGCTGGGTCAAACGGAATTTCTATTTCTAGGTCCTTGAGGAAGCACCACACTGTCTTCCACAATGGTTGAACGAATTTACACTCCCACCAGCAGTGTAAAAGTGTTCCTATTTCTCCACATCCTCTCCAGCATCTGTTGTCTCCAGATTTTTTAATGATCGCCATTCTAACTGGCGTGAGATGGTATCTCAATGTGATTTTGATTTGCATTTCTCTAATGACCAGTGATGACGAGCATTTTTTCATGTTTGTTGGCTTCATACATGTCTTCTTTTGAAAAGTGTCTATTCATATCCTTTGCCCACTTTTGAATGGGCTTGTTTTTTCTTCTAATTCTGTTTTAGTTCTCTGTAGATTCTGGATATCAGCCCTTTGTCAGATGGGTAAACTGCAAAAATTTTTTCCCATTCTGTTGGTTGCTGATTCACTTTAATGACTGTTTCTTTTACTGTGCAGAGCTGTGATGTTTGATTAGGTCCCATTTGTCTATTTTGGCTTTCGTTGCCAATGCTTTTGGTGTTTTAGTCATGAAGTCCTTGCCTATGCCTATGTCCTGAATGGTTTTGCCTAAATTTTCTCAGAAGTAGTTTCTGAAAGTACCCTCTGAAAGAAGTTTCTAAAAATATTCCCCCCTTCACACACACACACACACACACACACACACACACACACACACACATTTTAAGGGATGGGGTCTCATTAAGTTGCCAGGTGACAGTGCAGTATTCACAGGTGTGATCATGCACTATACCATCAAACTCCTGGCCTCAAAATCCCCTTTAAAAATTCCACTACCTGCTAAGTAAACTCTAAAGTCCTTTGACTGGCAGTTGAAGCCCCATCCACTATCTGCCTGCATCCTTTCTCCTAATTTCTCCATATGCTGTAGGCTCATTACCAGGCAGAACCCATGTTGTTTCCTGGGCTTAACAAGTGGTTATTTCTGGAGTTTAGCCTCTTCTCTTCTCCTATGGAACTGCCACCTAGTTTCCCAGGCCTGGCTCAAATCATCACTGTTTCTAAAAGAACCACTTTCTATTGTAGCAACATGTCAATTTCTACATTGTGATACATGGTTATTTATGCATTAATTCAACCAACATTTATTAGCACTTGAGTGGCAGTACTCTGCTGGGAATACAAAAACACTTGACACAAATAATGAAAAAGTGAAACATTTAAATAGCAGGATACGCTTCTGGCGGTGGTGTGGTTTTCTTTTCCTAGGCAGACTATAATCTTCCTGAGGACAGGGAATGAGCCCTTTTCTGCATTCAGTATCTCCCACAGAACTTACCATCTGTGGACTCAGAGCACTTGCAGGAGATCTCAGAGAGTAAATATGAAGGTATTATAATTTCTCTGCTTATCCTCGAATAGATTCATATTAATCAATTTTAAAAATTCCCGATAGCCAGTCCAGTGCATGGCATGTAGTACTCAAACAGCAAAGCTCATGAAATGAATGAATGGAAGGAAGCAAGAAATAAATTACCATGACAGCAGGGATATCTCTATATTCACCTTTGTGTTCTTGGAGCCCAGAACAGGGCTTAGTACTTAAGGGGATACAATAAACATATGCTAAATAGCCATAGCTACTGTTTTCCGGGAACTAGTTTCTCAAACAACTGCCAAGGTTTCTAGTTTCCTGTCCCAGTGCACACTCAAAAGCTCCAGAGGCAGCATATAACAAGAAACAGAGGTCCTGGTCCTAACTCCGATGGCAGTGAGGCCTATATTCCTCTCTCTGGCAGCTGCTCTGCTGGGAAGAGCCTCAGGAGTCCCAGCCCCTCCCAGTACATTACTCCGCCACCAAGGGATTGGGTATGGATGAACCGCTTCCAGGTGAAGACTCATGAACAGTTTACAGAAAGAGTTAAAGTTAGCAGGGCCAACTCCATCTCTTACTTCATAGCCAGGGGTACCCTCGGCATAGCCTTGCCATTCTGGGCCAAGGGTCATCAGGCCAATGACCAGTCAACTACGAATCTGGAAATGGAAAACAGAAGCTAAAAGTGAAGTTAGGTGAGGCTGTGCCAGGTTAATGGATGGAAATCACAATTCATGCCTAAGAAAAGGCTGGTGATAGCACATGCTGGCTGGCACTTATAACCCCCACCTGTCCCTTCCCAGAACGGCTCTAAGGCCTGCAGCCTGGATGGCACAGCTCAGTACCTGCTTTGCCTCTGTGTAACGTGCTTCAAATTCATTCTTGAAGGTGAGGTATAAATGCAGTTTCATACAGATAAATCTTATTTCATAATGGGAAAGAATGTCTTCAAGGGGAAAAGGGATATCTGGGGTCAAAATACAACTTGCCATTTTTTTTTAAGCCAGCATTTATAAATTGGAAGACTGCATATTAAAGTCTTGACCTATTTTTAAATACTAAAATATCTAGCAGCCTGGGATCCACATACCCCATGATAATATCAACTATTAGCTGAGCTAACCCCCATCAAGAAAGACCAAGTGCCTGCTAGTTTATCATAGTCCTCACGCAATCATTATTTTCCAATACTCTTACCCAGCTAACCTATGACAATGTAAACTTGAAAACCGTATTTATCCAGTCAACCCAAGCTAAAGTCTAAGCAGCATTTCTGACTTCACCCTTTCCATCTCCTCATACCCAGTCAATTAGAAAGTTCTATTTATCTTTTAAAGTTTCTAAGACTCTCAATTGTCCAAATCACTCCCTCCGGTTTTCACTCTAATGATCTGTTCACGTCCCTGGGACGAAATTCCAATGATCCTATGCTTTTTCACTGTACTTTCACAGCCAGGGGCACTCTCAGCCTGGCCTTGCCATTCTGGGCTAGGAGTCATAAGGCCAATGACCACTCAACTACGAATTTAGAAATGAAAAACAAAAGCTAAAAATGAAGTTCAGAAGGAAGCATTACACACAGAAAGGAACAACCAGTATCAGTCATCCCAAAAACGTACCAAAAGGTGAAGAGTATCTTCATAATGAAGAATCTATATCAACTAATGGGCAAAACAGCCAGCTA